GGAGTAGGAAACTAAATGAGGGATCGCGGCAGCAAAAAAAAACAGAGGAAAAAAGAATGGGAGAAAAACGTCGCCTTATCACTCGGCGATTAGCTGATCGTGCCTGAGTCCTAGAACGAATAATAGCAATCTGTATTGTCTCGACACTCGTCTAACGTGACACCGATCGAGGGGTAGGAAAGCGAACTACGGCAGNGGGGGGGGGGGGGGGGGGGGGGAGGGCGCTGAGTATTCCTAAAAGAAGAACTCCGTAATCTTTTTTATCGTGAACCGTGCCTATAACCCAGTCCGAATTGTAGCCATATTATTCAGTGTTGTGTTTTATTACGAGACATCACACTATATGTGATATTCTTTATGAACCATGACACGAGAACTCCATCATTTAAACTGTTGCTAATCTTGTTCTAAGCCTTGGAATGCTCTTCTAACAAGGAAAGAACGCCAGGTCGCAGTGGCCATTCAAGATGAAATGTATGCCGACGTAAGTACTTTCAAATGTTGATCTCAATTCTGAGTCGCAGATCTGCGAAACGATACTGGGAACAATGTTACGGGCCCATTTCCTCAGATCTGATGCCACGTTGTTGCTCTCATACGAGAACCAAGCTGTACTAAACGTGTAGCGATGGCACAGTTGGGAGAACGACGGACTGGTAGGTGCGACACGGAAGTTCAGTACTTAAAGCATAAGCTTTTTTTTGCTTTTTATAAAAAGGGTCTTAACCTCTTGCAAACCCTTTTACGCATCATATAGACTAGCTAAAGCCCTCTTTCATATGTATGTAGCAGAAGAAATGCTTATACAAGTAAATTTTTCGTCGCTTCCACATACCGAATAGGGGTACATAGAACCCTTTTGCTCCGGGAAGTTAAGATGTGGTCACGAATTTTAACAGAAACTGGTGAAGGATTGGGTTAGATCGTGCGTTGGATCAACAGCTTTGCCTCCATCCCTTCTGATTGTTGACTCATGGAGCTAGTTCAAGGACCATAAAGAATTCGGGGTTCGCAAAATGGCAGGCGGTGAAAGTACACAACATTCCACGTGGCGCAACTTCTCAAATTCAGCCCTTCGATGAATATTTTTTCTCACCACTCAAAGCCATGTATAAGCGCGTTGTCTCTTTCGTAACTACTCATGATCTGGGCTTCCATGTTAGCAACCGCAACTCCATAACCTCACCCATGGTTTGCAGCAGGATACCTAGATACAGACCCGGGAGGATTTGAAACTCCCTTTACTCCTGTATATTGCTTCTCACCTCATCTAGACGGGAGCTGTGAGAATGATGGGTGTGATAACTGTTTTTTACACGTTGCTCACATTGTGAAAAGCTTTTCTATTTCAAACACTTCGTGTTGGATTAATGACAGCTGAATTGTACCAGCTCACTTCTACCCATAGAGAAGGGATCACTCCATCCAAAAGCGCTGTAGCCTGACGAGTCATCCGACCGCCCTCTTTTGAAAGTGCATGGAGCTGCAAAATTTCGTGACCACATCCTAAGTGCTCGGAGAAGAAGGGTTCGATGTACTTCCCTTTCGGTATGCGGAAGCAACGGGAAAATTGACTTTTATTAGCTTTTCTGGTGCTCCATGCATATGAAGGAGGGCTGTAGGTAGTCTATAAGATGCATAAAAGGGTTTTGCAAGCGTTAAAACTTCTTCAACAAAAAAGCAAAACAAGCGCATGCACCAAGGGCCCGAAGTTCCGTGTCACGCCTTCCAGTCCGTTGTCCCCACAGCCGCGCCATCGCTGCACGCTCAGCCCTCCTTGGTCTTCGTATAAAAGCAACAAAGTGGAACCGTAACTTTTTTCCCAGAATCGTTTGCAGATTTCGTACCGAGATTTGAGATTAATCAAACTCACGTCGGTATATATCTCATCTTGAATGGCCACTGCGGCCTAATATTCTTTCCTTGCAAGTTCCGAAGCCTGAGCCCCACCCCGACTGAGCGCATTGGGTATTCAGTCAAGCTACAGCCCACTTGGAATGACAAAGCTCTCCAAGCGTCAGGCGCAAAACCTCAAAATCACCATCCTGCACAGAACCACCCAGTATTACTACAGAAGGAATAGGCACTTTTCAGAAATGCCAGCATGGAGCTAATTCCAAATTGCTATGTGTCGAGTCATGGGCCAGCTATGCTGAGTCATGCGCCAGCTCGAGACAGACACCGAGGTTTCATCAACTCCACCGACGCACCTGTCACTATTTCATAATACTGAGGTAGAAACCTTAGTATAAAAGGAGCCGCCTCATGGAGTCGGGGTCGTCGTCTCTCGGATGCCACCTTAGCCTCCAGGCTACCCTCGACCCTTTGTCTAGGCTATCACCTGCCCTCTCGTCCTGTCCCCCTTACATCCTCTCTTGTAATTTGCTCATGTAATAAACATATATATATATANATACTCTTCTATACAGAAGTATCTTTAGATCCGCTACACATCAGGTATAGGCCCGTACAACCTATAACTTGATATATGTCAAAAAATCATTCAAAAATAAATCAATGCAAAAGCGATGAAAAGGTAGCTGGGGAGGAGCACTCATTTTCAGTACTGAGCGCTAGAGGGCAGAGGAGGGAGGGTAGCCGATTTCGCGAGCCCATAATGGTGTTTAGGGACGTTTCTCAGTAGAAAAGTGCAGTATTTCAAACTAAGACTGATTTGATAAGGAGCAACGGGATGGGTGAGTCAGTTGAAGTACGATTTTTACCTGATTCCAGCTTTTTGCACGAGTGAATCATCTCAAATACCCGGTGCTCCTCCACTGTTAAGGCTTGGGTAAAGCTATATCATGCTGGCTGAGAACATTCTCTGAGCATAAGTAATGTCAACTATCCCTCCACCTCTGCGGCCTAGTCCTCCTCTCCCCTCGCCCAACTGGTGAACGTCCGCTCAGCTTCGCCCCTCCTTCAAAACCAGGTCACCTGCCCACTTCGTGTGCGACGTAGTGCAATTTCGTGGTGACCTCACAGTACCGCTAAGTGTCAACGGAGCGAACGATTTGCACTAGTCCGTGTTATATTTTCTTTAAACTGACTGTCGTGGACCGAGCGCAACTCATATGCCCCACCAACAACTGCGACGTCCGTCAAAAAACGTGGGCAGACGCGCCGCGTGGGCTTGCTGCGGCATAACCTAGTTTAGTCGAACGCGTGGAAGGAGGCGCAATCTCCCACCTCAAACTCCCCCTCAACTACTTTTTCTCCTAATAGTGAACAGCAAAAAACAAACTTACAACATGCGTCGTTGCGTTTGTTCATCCTACTTTTTCTGCCTTGCAACCCTTTCGTCAGTCGTTACGAGTCGTGACTAAAAAAAAATCAATTACATTCGATCCAACCGTCGATCATTCGATCTCTCTATTGATACCTTCGAACCATTTCTAAGTTGCACACGTTGAAAGAATCGTCACAGTTCGACATGAAGATCAGTATCAACAAAGGACGAGACTGAAGAATATATTTTTTGAATTAAGCCTTAGGAAGGATCATCGAGGTTTTCTCCTCCCATGGACTAATTAAAAACCGTATTCCTCCGCTCAGAACCGTCTATAAGGGTCCGTAAAAACAGTTAACTCTCCCACTACGCGCTCTGGCGCACAGTTTCGGATCAACTCGCCGCCCACTCCTTCCCCCCCCCCCCCCCCCNCAGTAACGATGATGGAAAGCAACTTTTTCTAATAGAAAATAACTTTCAAGAAAAGAAAAACGGAACTCGCGGCCAATGGCACCCGGCAACGGCAACGGCAACGCGAAATCAATGCGGGCGATGAGCAACATGGCAGAGGACGGCAATACATGAGTTCGTGATCTCCATTAATCAACTCGATCTCGCATCGTTCCGCATTTGCAATGTCAACGATAAACATTGAGTAACGATCGGAAATCAGTTGGCATTCCACTATCACAACTAAGAGGTAGTGGGATCGAAATCCCGAGCCCGAGCTTTCCGACGACACCGTAATGTGGCCTAGTTGGCCGAAGCATGCACAACGCAGGCCGCAGAATTCCCTAGCCTCTCCCTAACATCCATGGCGAGCACATAACCACTTCATCAAACCTACGTCACGGTGCGACGTCAGACGCGAACGGGCTATTTATTTCAGACGAACCCTATTTCACGGCTCCATCTGACACCAGCAGTGTTAAATAAGCTGTCCAAGTGGGTCGGTAGCGCTGGCCTGGGTGACATCGCTCGTTGGCGGGAGTGACGTCGATCCGATCTGACCGATTATCTATTTTTTCGTTTTCACGTTCCTGCCGGCCGTAGTCTGCAATGACTTGCGCTCCACTTCGCTTCGGTCTCATTCAAAATTGAAGCGCCCCGCACACCCATGTTCACACATTTCCATTTTCACTTTCCCAGTCCTTCGGGCCAAATACGCATATCAAAACGATTCATAATAATTTACCCAAACAAAACAAACACAAAAATCGTATCACATTCTACTGCTCTTAACGGTACGAACCTCGTAAAACCATACACCTATATGAACTGACCACCTACAATGCGTATTATTTACAATAGTTTTCATTATTCTACCACGCTTTGGGAATTTTACGGTACAGTCAAACAATACGATGTATTCAATCAATGTGAGAGGCTGCTTTCCATAAAGATACGATTACGAAAGAGACAAGATGTAACTGAAAAGCGATAAAACAATCAATGAACAGAACATAAAACTGGCAAACTCCCATGGTAGTCCACTATTACAGCAAGCTCTGTGACAAGATAGCAATTTACAAATCTACATAATCGCAGCATAAAAATGAAAGTTGAGCCATTGATGAACAAAAAACTATACTGCCAAAAGATCGCTTTAAAACAGCAACTTGAGAGAGCGGAAACAAGATTGTATAGAAATATTCGACGATTGGCGAGATAATTATACAAACTGCTTTACTTCATCTAAATAAATCAAGCCTAGGAATAACGGAGCAGACAGAATGTTGTTCTCAGTGATAACGGAAGGTAATCACTACCTTCATGTTGGTCTGATTTTGCCAGGTACGTAATTCCTATCGATCATCGGCTCCTGAAGGAAAATATGCAGCGAGCGCTCGTTTTGGGCTAAGGGATGTCCGGCTACCCTGAACATATCAGTTTAATCAAGACTTTAGAAAAAGTAACGTAATGTTATTACAAGCCAAAAGTCACACTATTAAGAAATTTGTTTTCTCGTTCATCGTTTTTTGTAACAAAGAAATATACGTAAGAACTTGAGTTAAATGACCGCGTGGCTAGTGGTATTATATCACCGCCTTGATGCTTTCAAGACCATCACAATGAGTCATTCCATATACGGAGAGCTTCCGTCAAGATCTAAACTACCGCTACTCGCTCCCAGGGTCACAGTTCCTCAGCAACACAGTTCGTACCTATTTTAATATGCTGTTGCGCCATAATCTCACGCAAGGTCAGTCCGCAAATTGATTCGATTAATTTAAACGTGACATGTTCCGTTACTTTCTTGTTAGGTTTGATTGGCCTACTGTTTTCTCACAGCTCATAAGTATCCATGTTCGACTCCGATGAATCTTGGTATAGCTCTGCATCAGTTTTATAAGACTTTTGTAAAACCTGCTACCAAAATGATAAATGGGTTCTTACCAACTTACGTTTCGGGTTATCGCCTTCTTCAGGTTCCAGACTCTGAAGAAGGCGTCAACGCCGAAAAGTAAGTTGATGAGAACATCTATTATCATCTTGGTAGCAGGTTTTACAAGTCTCAAAAAATTGTGTCATAGCTCACTTTTTGTAGGTCCGTTAATGTAAAATAAGTCGTAGGTGAAAACTTTGATTAAATAGACGTATAACAAAAGTGGAAAGGGTCTCTCCAATGCCATTAAGTAGTAAGTTGTAAGCAAAAGTTATCTTCTGTCACCTTATTTTCAAACTGTTCTCTTTCCACTAACTACAACTTGATCTGTCTCAAATCAGAGCTACACATTCATATCACCTCTGAAAAATGCTCCCACACTTTAAAGGCACCGTTTACGATAAATTTAGGGTACCCTTTTTTGAAGGGAATTGATAGAACTACTCTAGAATAAAGCGATAACAACGAAAAAAGTGCAAAAAACGATAAACAAAAAGAAATAGAAAGGGTCAGAAAAGAGCTGGAAAGGGGGTTGGACGAGTTTCACATAGGAAGAACGGCAGTTAAGGGAGTGTTCGGGCGAGTGCACGAAGGCGACGCAATGTCTGCAATAGCAGACAACACACCCAATTTGCCTGACAATCTGAATGGCAGACTCTGGCAATTTGCCGACCAGCTTATCGATTTTTCACCAACTTCGCTCCAATGCGAAAGTGGTGAACGGCAATTAGGTTTCGTAGTCAGCCTAGCTAGGAGCAAAGGGCGACCGTGGCTCACTCTCCGGCCCCTTATTGTGCCCTATCCAAACCGTTTTCCGACCTCATTCCTGGACAAATGGTATCAGAGGGGCGTCGAATTCAAACCATGTGCAAATCTCCTAAACCATTTTTTCGTGAACAGTGCCTTTAACAAACACGCCGAAAAGAGTGAAGTGCAGTGAGAGTCGCTGACACTACCGACCGAATTGCCCGTTTTTCAGATGATCCCAACGAACCCATGGCTCAAACATAAGTGTAAAAAATTTAGCTGGTGCTACGCAAGAAATCCCTTCGATGGCTCTCATTCTGTAACAGTGTTTTGCTCCAACAGCTGTTCTCGGGTACTTTACTTAACATGAAATCGTGACATGATTAGAAGCATGATTCGCCATGTAGCTCGCGAACCCAATAGTCCACACAATCCTTACTATGTATGCACCATCCTTAGTATATAAATCACATAACTGGTGTGTCCGCTTGTTTGACTGTTTGTCTGTCACAAAATTCGGCCTTGTCCTAACCAGGGAGGGGTAGTCTACTTATCTTGGAACTTTGAATT